TTTTTGAACTTGGGGGGGGGGGGGCAATCGAGTGATAGATTAGACTTGTTTTGTTTTATATTGATATTATTTTTAATTAATTACTCGTAGATAAATAAAAAAATTACATATACTTAATATACTAATTTATTTTTTTTTAATTAGAAACTAATTCTTTGAATTGGAAATCTTAAATTTATTAACATTAGTCATCTTGGATTCTCAGAAAATTTGTGTATAACTACAACTCCAATTTTTTCTTCTTTTCTAAAAATTTCTTGTGAATAATCTCATTAAATATAATCCCTTTAAGCGGTTTTAATTATATTTGTCTTATAAGATTTAGAGTCACAGTCCCCCTTTTCGGCTACGCCCATAATAGTTTGACCGCGATTTCTAGCGACTTATTTTCTACGATGGCATTTATACGCTACGGAGATTCTTTCCGTTCCCCTCGTGATTCACTTAACTAAAGGAAGTTAACCAAAGAGATGTCCGATAAGCGACGAGAAGATTTCACCCACGACAGATGACGTACTTTGAAAGCGCTCGCAAACTTTGACGGATTCTCGACATGTGACGTGGGTTGGCATAGTTAACAAACGTAGTCGTCGTCTTTGAATCTTCTTAGCTTCTCTTATCGCGGTTCTATAAACTATAACGGATTTTTAAGAAGCTTTCGGGGACAAAGTGAACGGTTTGAAAAATTCGTGGCAGTCATTTGTTGCCTTCGACGTATTCGGAAAAAGCTTCGTGGTTCAGCAGAATGTTCGGCGTCCAGGATGTTCAAGGGAGGAAGAGAGAGGGAGAAAGAGAAGACTCGACACGGGTTGGAGCACGTCCGCCTGGAACATCTTATCGGATTACCCGCACCTTCCTCTCGTCTCGTCCCATCCTAGTTCGCGCAAAGTTATCACAAGTGGTGATAGTTAGTTTGCGGAAAGGCAGCGGGCGTCACGGTTGCCAGCGTATAGCGCTTGCTTACGGCTGCGCTAACTTTGTGCACTTCGTTTGACTCCATACATAAAAATTGACACATTGCGCGTTTGTTGCTGTTCTTCCGCCATGCTTCTCCCGTCGTCTTGACTGTGTCCTTTTCTGAATCGCTCGGTCACTCGGATCCGCAAGTTTCGACCAGGAACCAGGACTTTTCCCCGTTACAGTCAACTGATGAACTTACTAACTCAACTGATAATAAATTATATACATCGAGCGTTATTACTAGATCCATTAATTTCGACGGGATATATAGCATTTACGATAATATTCATTTACGTATTCGTACACAATCCATCAAATAACTCTATTGCTATTGTATCGGGTTCTCCTATGTTAGCATTTCTATGTATCAACGTCAATGTAAGCCGCATGTTCGACAACAACAATAATAACAAAGCGGTTCCAAAATAATTTAGGGGTGATTCCCAGATTAATTGGATCACCGGAAAGAGATAGAAGGCGGATTAAATCCCTTGTGAAGCAAACGACGGATGCGCATACGAAGTCGATAGTGTCTTTGTAATCCACGAAAACGTTGATACGTTACAGAACTCGGTACGGAGTGTAAAAGAGACAGAGAGAGAGAGAGAGAGAGAGAGAGAGAGAGAGATGTTCGTAGTCAGGAATTATTTTAGCAGCACGAGTTACCGAGACATGTTGACACAACCGAGGATTTAAGCACTCGAGACCCGTGCCTCGCGGCTGTCGACATGGGATTGTATTCTGAGACATAGATACCAGCGATGAGAACGAGGACAACGCCATTGAGAAGGCAGAATAGCCATTAAGACTTCGTATAAACAGCTCGGTGTGCTCGGTTCGCGGCTTAGAGCAACGTCGGGCATCGCGACTTCTCCAGCGCGATCGTTAATCGCGTCGTACCCACCGAATCTTCTCCGCTCGCTTCGGAATCACGATCGTTCCGTCAAGCGGGAAAACAATGGGAACACACGCGTTTCAA